ATTAACACCTTTTGATGATTAGGGAGATATCATTTCACAAACAAGGCCTTCTTACCAGGCCTATGATTGAATAATATAGCCATATTTATGATTTGGTCATCAAAAATTGAGTTAAATTTTATCTGGTGAAATTTTATTTTTCATTTTCTTATGAAAATTATGGTAACATAATATTTGAACTCTAGTTGGCTTGTATAGTCTGATATTTACTAATCATTTTTGAGTATTAAATGCTTACACACACTTTTGAACTTAAGACTAATAGTAGGAATATAATGTTATTGTAACAAAAGAAGGAACAAAATCTTACATATGTTTCTAAAAATCTTGGGACCGATAGAAATTGAACCAAATCTTCCTATCATTGCCTGTTATTGATATCTTGCACCAGAGATAGCCATCAAGTAGTGTTATGAATAAGCAGTTGCTTGCTAATTATCTTTTGGTACTATTAAAATATATTTTTCATAAGTGTGTCTTGTAACCATTAGATTTTTGAGCAATGCTTGTTTGTGTGGTTATTTTAGTAGAATGTGCTTGGATGAATGCTGTAGTGAAAAAAAAAAAGTTAAAGAGCTTTTCATGGGGCATTTCCAAAATCATGATTTATTGTATTTGTTGCCTGTTTTATGGAGGCTTAGGTGGGATAATTTTGAATTAATTTTAGAAGACTTTATAGAACAAGATAAGGATCTGTATACTCTATGATCTGTTGAGACTGCTTTCTATTTGTTGAGTACAGGAATTAATACATGATAAAGGATATCTGAAAAACATGCTTACTATTGAGTTTTTACCCCCTACTGTTATGTTTATATACTAATATTTAAATCTTTTTAGTTTTCTACTTGTATTTTTAGCTGTTAGAAATTATGACTTAAACATTGTTGATTGGTAGAGTATGTCAGTGTAGTTTTGAAAACTCATAGTATGATTTTTTTTATGTTCTATGTATTTATCTTTACCACCTCTTTAAAATTATTATGGGAAAGAAACTTTTTTTAATGAATCAGAATACGGTAGTGAATGCTATCTTAGGATGTGAAGGGTCTTACCAAGTACTTAGATTCATGTTCCTTCCATTAAATGCCAGTTCTGATGTTAATTCTTGTAAAAGAAAAATTTTAATTTTTCTCAAAATTACTCTATCTAGTAATCTCTGTCTCTCTCTCTCCCCTTCCCTCTCCAATCTCCCCCCCCCTCTCAAATGTGTAGGCTGACTATTCATATGTTGATAGCATGTCCATTACAATTCGAAGTACAGTAGAACCTAGGTTCTCTGAATGTCTCCCATCACTAACAATTTAGTTCTTGACCAAGTTGTTCACTGAAACAAAATGTCTCCCTTGTTGAACAAACTTGGGTTGTGGACACACGACCCTTTCATGCTGATACATCAGCAGGACAAAAAGCATCTCTCAGGCCATAAAGGAGAGAATGCCAGTCAGTTTACCAGGTTGTTAACATCTCAGGAAATGGTGCTGTGAATATTTTTGTTTTGTGTTTTGTTTTTGTTTTTGTTTTTTCTTTTTTTCTTTCATTGCTATCAAAATGGATGATTAGCACAATTTTAAAACATAAAGAGGCCATTAGGAGTGCTAATGTTGCTAAGGGTGTGAAAGAAACAATGATCACAGGCAAGTGAAGAGGTAGAAAAAACTGTTGTTGATTTGGAAAAACAAAAAGCAGTTAGCTGCATAGTATTCCATATACTATGTAGCTGTAAGAAAGAAAGATCTCTTACCCTTTGAGACCCTTTGAAATGACATGTAGAGACTTGGAGAGTATTATGCTAAGCGAAATAAGCTAGTCAGAGAAAGACAAATATCACATGATTTGACTTATATGTGGAATCTAATGAATTAATTAAATTGATGAACAAAACAGATCCAGAGACATGGAAACAAGAAACAGACTGACGAACCTTAGAAGGAAGGGGGTGGGGATGGGAAGAGATAAACCAAAGAACTTATATGCGTATATGCATAACCAGTGGACACAGACAGTGCCATGAAGGCTGAGGGGGCAGGAGTGGGGAGGAGGGTGGGGGAAACGAGGGACATCTGTAGTACTTTCAACAATAAAGATAAATTTAAAAAAGCAGTTAGCCAGTGACAGCATTTCAGAGGCAGTGATATGTGAAAAAGCAAAAATGCAGCATGCTGACCTGAAATTAAGGCTAGGTGGGGGTGGTTCGATAAATTTAAGAAAGGAAGTGTTTGTGTATAGATTAAACAGTACATTAGAAATACACTGTGTATAAAAGAGAGGTCAAAACAGAATCATTTGGGGGTCTGGAATGAATTAATTCAATTTACATTACTTGTAATGGTAAAAAATGATTCGATTTTTGAACAAACCGCTTCTTGAACAGCCTTCTGGAATGAATTAAGTTCAAGAACCGAGGTTCCACTGTATAGTACTTTAAATTATAAAATGAAATATGAATAAATGTTAAAATAACTATTTTAAAATCAAATAAGGGTTTTGTGTACATTTGTCATAGTGTGTTTGTTCAGAAATTTATGAAGCTGCTGGGGGAAAGGGACTGTGTGTACAGTTTTTATTGTGTAGAGAACCCTACATGGGCATGAGTACTGAATGAACATTATTTGATGGTGACAAGTATATTTATTGTACAGATTTTTCAAAATTATAATTATGTTTGTTGTAAATAGAAGAGGACATTTGTAGAAATATATATTGGGATATATAGAGAGCTGTTAAATAGGACACCGCTGTTTAATATATGTTTTTTGTTTTAGCTTATCTATTTTAGGCAAGGACATGAAGCTTATGTACGAGCTGTAAGGAAATCAAAAATATACAGCGTTAATTTACAAAAACAGCCATGGAATAAAATGGATCTCAGGGTAAGTTTGCCAAATTAATTAGTTATGCAATTGAAATAGCTTTGGAATTAAGGTACTTGCCTGTAGATTTTTTCTCAATTTCATGTGTATCTCACTTTATTTTGTGTCCAAGGTAAGATGATTATCATACTCGTATATAGCTGAGTGTTATGGGTCATGTTTTGTGTTCCAAAATTTATATGCCACCTATTATCTTGATTATTTGACCTAATTTCCTTGAAGCTTCATGTCTTGTAGTATTTTTACCATTCTATAATTAGAGCAAAGCAACAGTTCCCTGGTGTGGATATTTTCCTCAAAAGCTGTGTACATTCTGGAGGCTTTATAAACTGACTACATGTGTGGACTACAAATACCCTGGGGGTTCTGGCACTTTTAGGATATAGTAAATATCACAAATCACAAGAAGCTCAGAACTTTGTGGTGCTTTATGGATTACCTGTTTTGATATAGTACATATGTGGCTACATTGTATTGAGTAAAATAGGTATGTATATTTTTAGTATAATTTTAGAGAAGGATTTTCAGCCTATAAAGACATGTTCATTCATTTATACATATATACATACAAATAGACATAAGGATACATACACCATCATTTCTGTGTAGGTTTATATACAGGTGTTCTTTTGGGTTGTTGTTTTTTTAACTTGGAAAACAAGAGACTAAAGAGCAATTTTACAGTGGTTTTCCGGGTAAATTAAAAATTGGTGTGTGGTGATGCTTAGCAGAAATGATACAAACTACACATTAACTGAAATAAAGATTTAAACACTTACAAAAATTGTATTAAGGTTGTGAGATGCTGAAGTATCTTATTGAGTAAGCTTTATCATCTCCTGGGAGATAGGGATGCTACCATCTATTCTGAATCAGGTGAAAGTTGAGTTTTTTGGTTGTTTGTTTTAGAATCAGGGGAATGAATAAAACTCGATTTCTTATTTTAAATTCTAACCTTGTGGTTCTAGGAAATTATATGCGTAGTCAGCATGTGTGTGGTGCAAAAGCTTAGGCTTTGGAATAAGACCTGAATTTCAGTCGTAGTTCTGCTGTTTAATAGTGTAGAACTTTAAGCAAATCACTGTACCCATGAGGCTGTTTTGTCAACTGCTAAGAGTGACTAATAATCAATCTATAAGGGTGGTATTGTAAAACAATACTGTAGGTGTTAAAAAATGTGTGTCATTTCCCCAAACATACATGTACATGTCCACCTACAGTACTTACATACTGTATTTCTGGTAAGGGAGTGATTCTTAACCTGGCAGAGTATCATAGTCCCCTGGGGAGTATATATGTATGTATGTATGTATGTATGTGTGTATATATATATATATATATATATATATATATATATATATATATATATGACTGAGCTGTACCCCAGATCTACCGAATTCTATTCTATAGGACTAGGATTTAGGAACACGAATTTTAAAAAGTTTCCCAAGGGGATTTTGCTATGTATCCTTGGTTTAGAGCCCCACACTAAACTACAGCCTGTTATTAAAGGTCCAGAGCCATGTCTTATTACCTTTAACACTTAGTGGAGTTCCTAGTATTTGGTGTTTATTCAGATAATTTTTAAATTGTTCCAATAATAAGCAAATAATATGTAAATGTTAGAAAGTTATTTATATTGAAAGTAATAGTTTATTGGTATTCTCATAAATAGGAACAAGAGTTTGTCAAGATTGTAGGAATCAAATATGAAGTTGGACCACCTACACTATGCTGCTTGAAGCTTGCATTTCTGGACCCCATTTCAGGCAAAATGACTGGAGAGTCTTTTTCCATTAAGTGAGTCTCTCTCTCTGTCTGTCTCTCTCTATGTGTGTGTGTGTGTGTATGTGTGTGTATTAGTCCTTATTTTGTATTCTGCAGAGTATAAGACTTGATTAGAGAAAATACTAGAGCACTATAGGCTTAGAGTTTTAAAATACAACGTTTAATGTTTAATTCTTGGTTTGTGTTTTTACGTAACAGCCATATATATATATCCATATCTTATAGTGAGTGTATATAGGAAATGTATATTTTAACATAATGTGTGTATGTGTATATATATATGTTCATGAGTAAGTTACTTTTCTGAATTTATGCCTTCATTTATAAAATGGAAAGGTCATACTCACTTTGGCGGTACATATACTAAAATCGGAATGATACAGAGAAGATTAGCATGACCCTGGGCAAGGATGACACGAAAATTCATGGAGCATTCATATTTTTGGGTTGCAGGTTTGATCCCCAGCCCCCAGTTGGGGCATGTGCAGGACACAACCAGCCTGTTTCTCCCCCCACCCCCTTTCCCCCACCCTCCCGTCCACTCTTTCTAAAAATCAGTGGGGAAAAGTATCCTCAGGTGAAGATTAACAAAAAAAAAATGTAAATTTTAATATCTTCCTCAGGATTGTTGTGAGGAATAAAAGAAAAACCTTTGTAAGTACCTGAGAGTATGCTTGAAACATGCTAGTTGCTTTTATTTTTGTTAAAAACAGGAATAATTAGTCAATGGCACATTTCTTAAAGTTAAGTTTGAAATCTAACGAGATGAAATAACATTAATTCATACTTTTCTTAAAAAGTCCGTAGTAAAAATAACTCATACTAAACTTTATGAACCTTCTTGGACATGTTTATATCATCGAAGGAGGTAGAGCAGTAGACAGGGTACTCCCAAACAAATCAAAGTAGATGGAGTTTAATTTAAGTAAAGGCATTAGTGGGGACCTGAGTTTTACAACGTTTTGCTTAATGGCTACGCTGTAAACATACCCTGGATGTTTAGCAGGTGACATATACTATTATATCTGTATATTGGTTCATAGGTGCTTAATTTTCTGTACAGGTATCATGACATGCCAGATGTCATTGACTTCCTTGTGCTACATCAGTTTTATAATGAAGCCAAAGAAAGGAACTGGCAGATTGGTAAGTATAGAATTCTCACGTGTAATAGCTATTCAGTTTAAGCTAGAGTAACTTTTTAATTCTGATTTAAAAGAAATAAACTAATTTAACATGTAGCTGGAAAAAGCTCTTAGCCAGTTTGGAAAATTAAATTCAAATTTTTTTTTCAGTTATGTTTGGTGATTTTATACACATTGCATGTGTCACATAACCTCTAAACCTTCTGCAAATATCTAATCTGTTAGAATACAAGTCTAAAACTAAACTAAACTGAACTAAAAAGAAAATGATCAAAATGTCAGTTGTCCTAAAATAGAAGACTTAATATTTGTACTTTTAAACAGACCATTACTGATTGTGGTTTTCTTTCTTTCTCTTTCTCTCTTCCCCCTACAACAGCTCACTTGCTTGTCTTCTTTCTCTCTCTCTCTCTGTCTCTCTCTCTCTCTCTCTCCCTCCTTCCCTCACCCCTCCCTTTCCTCTTTTCTCCTCTTCCCCTCTCCTACTCCCTCCCTTCCCCTCCTTAGCTGTTTGATCTTGGGCAAGCTTTTAATCTCTCTGTGCCTCATTTCCATTATCTTTAAAATGGAAATCACATGACACCACATCTATAAGGTTGATGTGAGCAATAAATTAGTGAATATATAGAAAGCACTTAAAATGGTACCTGACACAGAGTAAACACTATGCAAATGTTTGCTGTTGGTACTTTTTTTTTTTCCACATTTTTTTTTATTAATTAATTTTTGTTACAGATGTTTCTCCTTTTCCCCCCACTGATTCCCCCCTCTCCCTCCCTCCCTACCCTTTCCCCAGTTTGTTGTCCATGTCCACTGTTCATGCATACATGCATATAAGTTCTGTGGTTTATCTCTTCCCCACCACCCCCCTATTTAGGGGATTGTCAGTCTGTATCCCATTTCCGCGTCTCTGGGACTACCCCCTTCCTCAGACTGTTATGTTCATTATATTCCACAAATAAGTGAGATCATATGAAACTTGTCTTTCTCTGTTTGGCTTGTTTTACTTAGGATGATACTTTCCAGGTCCCTCCATGTCGTCTCAAAGGATAAGAGGTCTTTCTTTCTTACAGCTGTGTAGTACTCCATTGTGTATCTGTACCACAGCTTTTTGATCCATTCGTCTACTGATGGACACTTGGGCTGTTTCCAGATCTTAGCGATTGTAAATAGTGCTGCTACAAACATGCTGTTGGTACTTTTAAATTATATTTTCTTATTTGGAAGAAAAGCTTTTGTCCACAGTGATTTGGTTTTGTAATCCTTAGCCATTTAGAATAGAAGACCTGTATGAAGTGATTTTAAAGGCAAAAAGCAAAAATGAGAAGAAACAAATGGTGTACATAGGTACAGTGCAAGAAGTGGTAGGCCTAGTGATGATTCCAGGTAATTGATAAAAATAGATGTAGTTGCATTTGTTTAAAAAAACATGGACATATGTGATTTATTTCAAAAGGATAACTAGTACCTAGAAATCAAAATCCTTAAAGAGGGTAAATAAAATTCACTTATTGGAAAACTCAGATTTAAACCTTTAACAGTGCTAGTTACAATACTACTGTATTCAATAAAAAAAAAAATTAGCAATTTAGCCTTGTCCAGTATGGCTCAGTTGGAGCGTTGTCCCATACACTGAAAGGTGGCAGGTTCAGTTCCCATTCAGGACACATACTCAGGTTGCAGGTTCAATCCCTGCTCAGGGCACTTACAGGAGGCAACCAGTTGATGTTTGTCTCACACACATATGTCTCTCTCTCTCTCTCTCTCTCTCTCTCTCTCTCTCTCTCTCTCTCTCCCCCCCATCCCTCTAAAATCAGTTCTAAAAGGTCTTTGGGTGAAGATTTAAAAAAAAACCTTAAAAATAACATTTTAGAGTGGGAACAGAGCTATTATTCTTAAGACCACCATTGTAAGAATTTCTAAAAACATTACAGGTGATAGATTCCGCAGTATAATAGATGATGCCTGGTGGTTTGGGACTGTGGAGAGTCAGCAGCCTTTTCAACCAGAATATCCTGATAGTTCTTTCCAGTGTTACAGTGTTCAGTAAGTACAGTTATGGTCTTTTATGCCTGATAGAATGCTAAAGTGCTATAGACTTTCTATAAACCCTGCCAGGAATAATACCATTTTATTGACTTATCTAGTCTTACCAGACCTATTATCTGTAAGAAAGTAATCATGATACCTATAAGGAAGGAATTTGATGATAAAGCAGGTAAATTTTACTGCTGAAACAAAGCAGGAACTGAAGGCTTACTTCTACCTCCCTTATGCTCATGTTTTCTTTTAAGTAAGTCTGTTTTAGACAAGAATTACTATTATTTCATGAGGAATACTGAAATTAATTTAGTGTTTAAAGTAATTGTTACAGCTGGAATATAGCAATGAATATTAGTGTGTAGGTTTTTATTTAATGGTGTGGATTGTAGATGGAAATGACTGTCTTATGTTTGGATGTGTTATTTATTTACAACATTTACTTTAGTTCTTCATGATATATTCCTAATTACTGAAGTTTTCTTGTCAAGCACGATAAGAACACATGTTTATTCTGTGAATATTGGCTTTTGTCTCCATATTGCAGATCAAAAGGGAATAATAAAATTCTGGAGATGTTGTAGTACTTAAGCTATTAGGATAAAGTACATTATCTCACAGAAATAAGTGAATCCCCCCCCCCCCTTTTTTTTTTAACATGAAAGGAATTTTCCAAAGATAGCTTTTTATTCTGTATCCTGGCTTAACACTGAGTATGTCCTTGACTGGAATAAATGAGAAAAGCCAATTAAAACTAAGAATAAGCTTACTGTTATCTAAGTTTCATACTGGCAGACCATGTTTTCTCTATGTGAGGTTTATTAAGTCATACAAATTATGCTATATATAAAAGTGTCATGTGAATTTGACTTGTATCTTGTTATTTTTTAATAGCTGGGACAATAATGAGAGAGAAAAGATGAGCCCCTGGGATATGGAGCCAATTCCAGAAGGAAGTAAATATGCTTTTAAAATGAATTATAATTCTTCTAAAAGAAAAATGACAATAGCATGATACTGGAAACTAATTGTTTCTGCTCTTTCCTCTTATCCATAGCTGCCTTTCCCGATGAAGTTGGTGCTGGTGTTCCTGTGTCCCAGGAGGAACTGACTGCTTTGCTATACAAACCCCAGGAAGGAGAGTGGGGGGCTCATTCCAGAGATGAGGAATGTGAACGGGTTATTCAGGGCATCAACCACCTTCTTTCCCTAGGTATGGTGAATATGAAAGAATATTAGGAGGGTGGGAGGGAAAACCAGCAAAATTTTAGGTTCTGCCAAAGGAAGTGCATTTTTTTCACTGTACACTTCTAACTCAAGAGGCACAGTGATTCTAGTTTTAACATTTTTATATGCTTGGCCAAGGTAATGAAAAACTGTCAGTTCTCTGGTGGCTTATAATAGTGAAGGCAGGTAAAGGTATGTTTTACTTTCTTGAGTCATTTGACTCTCTAGCTCTTTTATGAGCCTGACTTTGGGTTCTTTGATAAAGACAATGTTACTCACATAACTAGTTATATTTTCTAAAACATATCATTTGAGACATTCGGCATTTATCCAGAAAAAAAACAAATTTGAAATTAAGCACAGTCCTCCTTTAATTTTGTCTAATTTTACCTGATTTGAACCACTATATTATCAAGGAGTCTTAGATACTATGCCCAAATAAAAATAATAACATTATAACAATATTGGTCTAATATTTGCATAATGGAACCGCCATTTTATAAGTGTAGTATCTTGCCCCCCCTCCTTGTTTATATATGAATTTGCTTTGTTGACATGAAATGTTAATGATCTTTAATACTGCCTTTCTTGATTTTGGTAATATTGTAGATTTTGCCAGCCCTTTTGCTGTTCCAGTGGATCTCAGTGCCTATCCCTTGTATTGTACTGTAGTTGCATATCCAACTGACCTCAACACCATCAGGCGGAGACTTGAAAATCGCTTTTACAGGTCTGTTTAGTTTTATCATTTACTATAAAAGTCATAGCTTTATGTCTTGCTTTTCTTTTTGCGTAATGATATACTGAGATCTGTGTTTTAATAGTATACATAATCATTCAAAAGAGCCACTCCACAATTTATTCTAAAAATTTCAAACACTAATTTCCCTTTATTCGGTAGATTCTCAGTCTTCCAGGGTGAGAAGGGGTATGAAGGGAATGAGGCATGGGGAGAAAATTATGAGTAATACTAATCATGTGTGAAATGAAAACTAGTTAACTTGAGTTTATCAAAGACAGATTAAGTGGTTTG